GCCGCGACTCTGACGCGACTGAGACGCGACGTGACGCGGAGTGTGCCGCGACTCTGACGCGACTGAGACGCGACGTGACGCGGAGTGTGCCGCGAGTGGGCCGCGACCTTGACACGACAATGATGGACTGGTATATGAGATGAGGGGTATTATGCAGTTTGAATGGTACTTTTGCGTGTACGAGTTGGCTCCAGCAGCCAATGATCAAGTAGAAGTGGTAATCAGCTTTCGGGACTCAAACTCACTGCCTGTCTGAGTGATGGGCACTTATACAAACACATCTGTACGACATTAGAGCAGCCTGAGGAACACTTAAATAGCGACCTTGATCCACTAGTATATGCCACAGGATATTAGAAGGAAGCAGGAGTGAGCTATGAGGCAGAACGAGGCTGCATGGTGGGTGGCAGTGACGGAGAGCCCGGCCTGGGGTTTCACCAATCCGTAGCTCTTGAAGCCGAGCTGAGCTCACACATCACTAGCTGTCAGGCTGTCACAAGCCCTCTCCAAAGCCTGGCTTGTCCTGTCCTGTGCGAGGGCTTGGCCTCACGGCTTGGTGGCCTGAGGCCGGGACTTGTAAGTCACTAGCCGGGCCATAGTTGCGGCTTTTGAGTTGAGCTGGGCTCTGTAGATCACTAGTTATATCCAGGATTTATGCATGACTCAGGCTGTGGGGTGAATGTGCACAATCTGATAATGATTGGTATCATAGCATGATACAGCTTTGCAGAGGTCACCTAATTGCAATATTGAACAATTCGTACGAGTATGAAGGTGCTACTTCTGCTCAAATGCTGCAGTTGTGGGAGGGCCCAATGAGTAGTCTATAAACCACACCATGTCTGCAGTTGGGAGTGTGGGTGGAGCTGGAAGAGAGTTGAACCAATGATGCATGACAAGGGCATTGAAGAGACGTGTCTGTAAGTCTGGGTAAGTTACTGTTGCTCGATGACATCAATTAATTACATGCCTTCCAGGAATGATCAGTTGTTAGGCGGTAAAAGCAGAAATGTCCCATAAGGGCCGCCAGTATCTCATACCCCACCATGCATTTCCGAGGTGCATCGAGAAGGACAAGCTGAATGAGCGTTGACATTGAGTACCGTGGCTCACCACCCCTGGCTGGCTCAGACAGAACGCATAGTCCATGACTGTGGCGATTGAGTGCAATCCCTAAGGTGTCATAAATGACCTGAGCAGGAGGGGTCTTTGCATCGAGAAAGCGGGCAATGTCATAGTCAACGAGCGTGGCAGTTATGTTGGGAATGTATGGCTTGCACGTGACAGAAAGTCCTGTTTATAACTATTATTAGTCAAGTATATATGCTTGTAAAGGAACACTTTACCGCTCTCGTTGCAACTGAATGTCATCAGAATACCCCAACTATATCCAGAGGCATCCGCCTTGAAATACACCCTGGTTTCACCAATGCTGAGCTATGATAGATTCAGTCACAGAGATTTGGAAGGCTTTGGTAAATGTATAAGTACCTCTGGCGGCGTAAAGAGTGGTGCAGCAGAGTCAGCAGAATTTCTGGTAGGCGCACATATGGGGGTCATTGGTATGACAGAATGCGAGACGGGGGGGCATATCCGAAACCGGTGTACGTAGAAGTCATTTTGACTGTGCTGGGGTGCGGGGCCAGTCTGTGGTGATATAGACAGGGGAATGAGGCCAGCTCCGGCTGCAAGTGAACTTCCAGCAGCAGATATACGTGGCAAAAAAGCTGGTGTAGCTCCAGAGGGAGGCAAAGAATTGACAAGGGTTTGGATGTTCATAGCAGTGAGGTTTTGCACACCGGGGGGGAGGGGGGTTGCAACAGTGCAAGTGGCGGAGGAGATACAAGCAACACTCATGCCCCTTTATTTTCTGTTCGGACATGATTGGTTATTCAATTTGATAGATTAGGTCATCTAAATGCCTAAAACCGGTTATTTACTTGAGGCTGTCAGACGCAGCAGTGGGTGTGGTGACCTGTGACTGAGGCACAAATAGCAGTACAGTGACGGACGATGTGACATGTGACACGGTGCTACGGTGTGATCTATACAGTATATGTGGGATAGTTTGCATTGGTAACCTTGACCGAAACCACATCGCAGCCTGACACTTGCTCATATTGCCTCCCATACGCTGTGCAGGTACGTTGACACATTGATTGGAGTATATGAAATGACCTCACTTAGCCTACAGAATGTCTTCGGAGGAGATGCAATCATCTGTTGTGCCGTCAGGCAAAAGACGGGTGCGTATGTCCAGAAAATTGCCAGAGCTCCATGCTATATTGTTTGCTGGTATACTGAAGAGGAATTACAGCTTGTTCGAGCATACAAGGTCCCTCTGAAGGGTGCACCACACTTCATTCATATTCCCGTTGTTCGTGGTGATGGTGGTGATGCCCGCGATCTTGCACAACTGCAGTCCGCCTGGGCGTTCGAGGGTCTTCTGCGCAAGTATACAAAGATCCGGTCTCTGCGATGCCGTCAGCCTGCCACCAGGTTTCATCCATTTGCAGCTCCTCGTCTCCGCCAGCAGAATGGACGAGTACAATTCCGTCAGCGCATGTTCAACGTATATGCAATGGAAGGCCTCGACTATGACATGCCGTACAATGAAACCGTGGCTGCGCTCAAATTTGGCCCTCGTATTCGAGCCGAGTTCATCATCATGGAAGTTACGGCGAGTGGCAAGCGTGCTGCAGATGCCAGATCAGCGGAAACGAAAAAAATGGACTATTTGGCAGTCGAGTATGTCATTAACAATTTTGGTGTTGTTTGATTGTCTGATTTTAGTTGGGGTTCCAGTGCAGCTCGGCGGATGATGTCTCTGCCTGATTTAGAGACAGTAGTGGATATGTCGGAGGAGCTCCAGGAGTACTATGGCTGTTAAACTAGTTAGTTTTTGGATTGTCGCAAAAGTGTATCAGTGACTGAATGGGACTCCATGAGATGGGAACGATATTGTGTAGAAGTGTCAGAGCCACATGGTGTAATGGATAACATATCTGATGCTTTTGTGGAGATGCTGGTTCGATTCTGGCTGTGGCAAAATGGGGTTTGTCTCAAATTCCTTTTGTTAGTTAATGTCACAGTGCTATCTCAATTTGCACGTATGAAGTTTGCTCGTCTTGCAACCTCCTCTAAATTTGGTACACCCATGCAGATAGGGCAACTGATGTGAATAAGTGCGACAGTACGGACTGTTCAAGTAGTGATATGCAAGGCCTGGCCTTGAGCCGTCAGGCTCCCCAAGCTGGCTCTCAAGTTCGGGCTTGATGGCGCTGGCATAGTGCGAAAGGAGATGGCGACGAGAGGTGTCACTGGACGCGTCCTCCCATCGTTCTTCACGCTCTTGCAATGCAGGAGGCCGGGGCAGGGACCGTGAGCCTGAAGTCCGAGACGATGGACGCATCATTGTACGCGTCTTCTTGCTCTTCCTCGTGTCAAGCAGCACGGGAGGGCGGGTGCAGAGCCTGAGGCGGAGTGCAACGAAACACGTCATTGGACGCGTCTCGTTGTGGGTCCTCACACTCTGGCAACGCAGAGGTGTGGGCAGGAGGTGAGTCGCCCCCACCACCTGCAGGCTCCAGCTCAGGCCGAGCCGAGCTCGAGCTGAGCCCGAGCCGTCTTCGAAAGCCCGGCCTGCAGTTTGAGCAGGCCGTAGCTCTCCAGGCCGAGCCGTAGCCGCGGCTTTTTTCGAGCCGAGCCGGGCTCGCACATCACTATGTTCAAGTGACATCATTAAAGTCACAGCTCAAACTGCATGTACATTTTTCTGAACACAATCACATACAATCATGTCTACTCATCTGGTGTATGTACACAACCTGATTATGCCCTTGTGCGATCTTGATGTACCCGCATGTGCAGGTGAAGACCACGGAGACAGGTGAACTTCCTGCTACATTTTGGACAATGACAGTCATTGTCTGATATGTTGCCGCATTAGTTGGTTTTTTGGGGAGATGTCAGTTCAAAGTGATCCCTCACATGTTGGATTATCATGGCTCTGTATGTGACGTTGTAGGTTATTCTTACGTGAGAATTGCTTGCTGCAGCCTGCGATAGGGCATTCGTGCACTGAAGCAGATAAATTGATATCTCGAACTGCAAGAAGTTTGCTACTCACATTCAGGATTCGTATGAACGAGACGGATATGCCGCATCAGATGGCCACTTTTTGCGTAGCACTTTCCGCATCCAGGCACGTCGCACTTCAAAATTGACTGCTGATTCTATCGAATTCATGAGTTGCTGCAGTCTGATGTGGTTGTTATATACACGTACATCCCCGACACTTTTGTCTGTTATATGGTGTATTTCAGGGACTATAAGTGGAGCCTCAGAGCTTCCTGCAGGCATTGGGATATTGTTGGAAGGCTCCAGAGGGCTTGCATCAATATGAGCACTGTTTCGCTCATTGTGGCGGTGACACGGATCCAGACAAACTGGCAGAATATTGTCACTGTGTGGACGCGCAGGAAACATACGGGAAGCCATAAGAGCGACTTCAGATGGATCAATTGCATGTAGCAGAGAGACGTAGTTGTGCGAGTATGACATCATTTGCTGTTGGAAGTGATGAGGGTGAGTGCCAGTGAACGTGGGAGATCTGCACGACGGGCAGTGGCATCTGGTTAAGGTCAGGAACAGGCTTGTAACAGGACCTGAACTGGACTCCTGGTTCAAGTCCTCGTTACAAGGCTGCTTTAGGTGCGGAGCATCCGTTACAAAGGTTTGAACCCCGAAAGACACGGTAAGTATTTGATACTTAATGAGCGCCTGAAGCGGCGGGGCGACAGGTGATGTTTCGAGGTGCCGCCGGATGCTAGACCGTGACTTATCTGAGTATCTCCGAGAGGTATGCTGGAGGCTCGGCCGGTCGGACTCCGGGCGCATCAGTACAGAAGGGATTCGGTAGCACTGGCAAATCGCTCTACTGAGTAATCACCGGTATCAGGTGTTAACTACATTGCGATAAAGTACGGTACTTATAAATACGAGTCATGTCGAGTTTATGTCGGGCGTGCCAGTGCGGGTCATCAACGTAAGTATCATTGAAGGTTACGTGTATCCATGATATTGGATGACGCGGCTGAGCATGTCACTGCAGCCCGCCAGTATTCGTAGGAGTGCCGGTATCATAAGGAGTTTGGCTTCAGAAAGGGACAGTGGTGGAGCTACTTGAACGAACGATCTTGTCAGCACGGCATCAACTTTCAGATAGAGAGACGTACAAATCACAGGGACTGGCGTTTGACGATTGCGCGGACACCAAGGGTCGTCTCGTGTTGTGCATTGCGAGGCGGTAATCCGAGACGCGACGTTCGAAGAAATTGGTTCTCCCGTCTAACGCCATTGATGTCACAAATGGGAACTTCGGGGCATTAAGTTCTGTGAGCGTAAGGCCTGCTGCTTATGTAGTAAGTTACGGCTTACCGGATTGGCTTTCTTGTACTTGGGTCGGAATCCTAGGGTAAGTAGGAGGCGGTCGGCGACGTGCTGAATGTAGTCAGACATTAGGGAAGTGTTCATGCCGTCCAGTCTGACCGGAAGTGCCTCTTGAATGGTATTCGTCAGGACTCAGACGAAGGATGCAGGTTCACTATGAATATGTACACGTACCGTCGAAGAAAGCCTGTTCGAGATCCACAGCCTGGCTTACGATGGTGTGCGCGGTAGTCTCGTCGACGCCGTCCTGGAGATGGTTATGTAGAAGGACGGCGAAGTTAGTATGCATACCTTCGTCGCGCGCGATGAGTTCGTTTGCGTGGCATAACCCGGGCATTAGACCGCGACTTCGCAGCCAGAATATAGCGGCGAACGATGAGGAGAAAAATATGCCTTCAACGGCGGCGAATGCGACGAGGCGTACCGAGAACGGTTGGTTTGCGTCTTCAGTCCATTGCATGGTCCACGCTGCTTTGCGCTTGATGCTTGTGATGGTATCTATAGCGGAAAAGAGTCGAGTGCGCGCCGCTAAGTCACGTACGAGAGCGAGAAGCATGATCGCGTACGCCTCTGCATGTATGTTCTCCCTGTTTGTGAAAGTTCGGATGCCATGTCAGCGCCGTACGACGTTTACACTTGTGTTAAGAGCACGTACATCATGATCTGGAAGCCGTAGAAGCAGCGAGCTTCAGGGATCTGAACTTCTGCGCAAAACCTCTGGACAAGGTTTTCGTTCACGATGCCATCCGAGGCTGCGAAGAACGCTAGTACTGTAGAGATGAACTGGCGTTCGTCTTCGGTGAGTCGGATCTCCCAGTGACCGCGGTCAATTGTCATATTGAGCTCTTCCGCAGTCCAAAACGCTGCCTGAGCGGTCTTGTATGCGGACCAGATCTATGGTAGTGTCAGCATGTATGATCACAGTGGGACGAATGTTGGTTATCTACCTCGGGGTACCGGATGGGATGTAGGATGAACCTGGAATTGTCTGATCGTAAGATCGGGTCGGTATTGTCTGTTGAACTTAGAATGTCCATGGAAGTTGGTGTCTGATTGAGTAAAAGGAGACAAACAGAGCGACGCGCTCTTATAGGTCTTCCGATGGTTAGTATGCAGCGTGGGAATCGGCTGCGTGATATTTCCGACGTGGGGGTGGGGGAATGAGGCCTGCACGAGTGAGGAGTCAGGATACCACACATGGCGGCAGTGTGGCTAGTGCGTGGCGAGCGTGGGGGTCCGCAGCGAGACACGTGTATAGCGCGAGGCAGGGGCGTGCGCCTGTGAGACCGACGGAGTCTGAGAGGACGACGAATCCGGACTATCTGGAATGAAACGCGTTTGGGTGAGAGGAGAGGACCTATAAAAGGGTCGCACTTTGGCGCAAGAGCGTAACTATCACTTTGACTTTGAACTGAAACATCACCTTCGACTTTTCTAGTAGCTTGGAATTACAAGCTCATACTCGGTATGTCTAGCCCACTTGAGAACTTGCAGGATATGGCAGACGTTCTCGAGGAGATCGCTGGTGAGTCTTGCTTCGGCGCATCGTAATGGGCGGTAGCTGATTGGTCGTTCAGGTCGTTCTGGTCGTTCTGCAAGCGACAATGAGCCTGTTGAGGCGGAACACCCGCTGTGGAACTTGAATATTCCTCCGGATGATCCCGGTGAGTGCACAGGGTATCTGTTAGATCATTCGGTACTGATCTATCATACAGCTGTGTGGGATGTGCTGGTGAATGAACTCGGTGGGGATGGCCCTTGTGGACTAGGTGAGCCGTCGTGGCTTTCTGGCACGCGTTCGATGTTGCTGACTACCATGCGCGTCAAGGTGAAGTCGTTCTAGGCGCGACCGGCGGGTCATGTTTACGATGGGCCGCAGATTGCAATCTCGACAGGGACTATCTGTTCAAGAGCATTATCAGAGTTGCGGAGGGGGTTCGTTTCACGGATATTGACTGTGCTGTGGGAGACGTACTTCTGGCCGGTCCTTTGCACGCAGCTCTAGACGCGTAGGTGATGTGGCGTGCGTGCGATCTGCGTCTTCTCTGTTTGGAGCATTTCATCGATGTCCTTGTGCGGGATACGGTGACGTCGCTGCGCGCGCGGTTGGTCGGGCATGTATGCTCTGCTCGGTGTATCGCCGGTATGCTTTGCTTCCAGAGGCTAGAGCGTCCACGGACGGGTGTCCGTATCGCAGCAGGACGCAGTCGAATGTCGGACGACGATTCGGGATCGCCGGAGCCGTTCTATACTGTGGCTGACCATGAGCTGCGGCAGTCCATCATACGGGAATGGCAGGAGTGCATGCATACCGACACTCTCAAGCTCTATGTGTGTGCGGTGTGCGCGAGGCGGACGAAACGGGACGCGATAGAGATGGTGTCGATCTCTTCGCTAGACGTGTCTCTGCTGAGGAACGATCAGCTTCCGGCTCATGTGCTGCCTAGCACTTACGCGTATGGACTGTACGGTCGTGCACTGTTGCATCCAGCGGGAATGACTTCTCTTTGGGAGGTCGCCGATATTCGAGTGTGCGTCGAATGTCGCATCGATTTGGTGGACAAGAAGCGGATGCCTAAGTATGCCCTGGCCAATTGG